AAGGAAACTGCTCCTCACTCACTGAATTCTTTCTCTTAGGAATAACCAATAACCCTGAAATGAAAATGCCCCTGTTTGCCACATTTTTAGTTGTGTATCTCATTAATGTCCTGGCGAATCTCAGTATGATCTCGCTCATCAGAGTGGACTCCCAGCTTCACACACCCATGTACTTCTTCCTCAGCCACCTCTCCTTCTCCGACCTCTGCTATTCCAGTGCAGTTGGGCCCAAGATGCTGGTGGACCTACTCACCAAAAGCAAATCAATTCCCTTTGCTGGCTGTGCCCTGCAGTTCTTCATCTTCTGCATGTTCATAGATGTTGAGTGCCTGCTGCTGGCCGTGATGGCCTGTGATCGGTACAAGGCCATCAGCAACCCCCTGCTCTATGCAGTGGACATGTCCAGCAGGCTGTGCTCTGTACTTGTGGCCAGTATCTACCTGTTGGCAGTAGTAGATTCTTTGATACATACATCATTAGCATTCCGCCTGTGTTTCTGTGGGTCTAATGAGATTAATCATTTCTTCTGTGATGTCCCTCCTCTCCTCTTAATATCTTGTTCAGACACACAGGTTAATGAATTAGTGATATTCAACATTTTTGGTTTTATAGAACTGAGCACCATCTCCGGACTCCTGATCTCCTATTGCTATATCATCTTGTCAATCATAAAGATCCGCTCTGCTGAGGGGAGGCTCAAAGCTTTCTCCACCTGCGCCTCTCACCTCACTGCAGTTTCCATTTTCCAGGGAACCATGCTCTTCATGTACTTCCGGCCCAGTTATTCCTACTCCCTGGATCAGGACAAAATGACCTCACTGTTTTACACCCTAGTGATTCCCATGCTAAACCCCCTGGTTTATAGTCTACGGAACAAGGATGTGAAAGAAGCCACAAAAAAGTTGAAAAATAAAATTTTGTCTTAGATTAATTAGTATATACTGCCAATTAATATGTGTTTATATACATACAATGTATATGCTTGGTTTCTTCACATTATATTTATAACAGATAGTTTTGTCAGTAATCTCCAATATACCAATATACAATCTCCAATGTATCTATTTATCTATCTATCTTTAATAATCTCCAATATATCTATATATATAATTTCCTAAATTTTTATCCTTTATTGTGTATCTTCTAAAAACATGAAGATATTTATTTTTGGAAATATTTTCAGTCTTTGTTTTAATGTGTAGAACTGTCATTTATTTGATGTGTACTGTGGGCATTGATTTTATTGTAAGACTTAGTGAGTGCTCAGTAAATGCCCACTTGTACCTGTGTGTTCATTTAATTCATGGTGAAATGAGTGTCATGCTATGGATCCCAAGAATGTATTGGGAATTAGAAATATTAAATAGCTAAACATACAAATAATAGATAATGAAGTATAAATTAGCATGAAGTAAATGCAGGACACTTTATGTGAAAATAAAATATCTAAATCTGGTCTGTAAAGAAGAAAACATTCTGTGAAATCGGGACACTTAGTTTCATAATTAAACAATGAATGGAGACATAATGGAGGAGTACTGGGAGAAGAAACTGCTTTAGATGACCTCTTGGATATTAGAAACCCTGAGATGGCCAGGAAAATGCCCTGAGAAGGAAAGGAAGTCCAAGTGGCAAGAAACAAAGAGGATAGTAGATTCCCCTAATGGTTAGTATGTTGAAAATTTCTTCATATACTTCTGCACAATTTAAATGTCTTCTTTTGAGAAATAGCTATTTGGACTTTTTGTACTCTTTTTTTTCATACTAGTATTTGTTTTGGAAGGATTTTTATTTTCTTTTATTATTTATTGA